ATGACTAGGAACAACAATACGTGGTTCCGCTGTCTGGATGGCAGTGGGTCAGTGGGCAGGTCGTATTCTTCACTAGGGCAACATTAATTCGACACCCATACTCATCCGTAACGAACTTTTTCATGAATATCCAACGCTCTGCACCCTATTGCCATACCAGGACCGCTTCTGCTACATCTTGCATGTGTGGCAGATTGTAGCCGCGACTGATTCTCACTGACTCTAGCAACACAACTTTTGGTGCAAATCGTACATTGGAGAACGAAGGTAAACAAGGTTACCTCTATAGGGATTTTTCAAGGATTTTTGGCACTGTGCACTTCAAATGGATACGAAGACAGTTTTTTTCTGGACCTTATGTCCTTGCAATATTGTAGCCCTCACTTATTCCTAGTAATCCTAGAAAAATCACTCCAGTTCTGAATCGTATAGTCGAGAACGAGGGTTCACAGGGTAACCCCTATAAGGTATTTATATGTACATTTAGGGTGTGGTGGCTACTGGTACATAGCTGAGTATTTGCTGAAAGTTTCACTGGGAACAACCTTTATTTTCACAGTGGACCAAAATCCCAGGAAAACGTCCCCCGTCCTTTGTTTCTATATCCGAAGCGAACTTAATTTTATTGAATTCCGATCTTCCTACTCTTTATTTCTTGTCTGATCATATTGTTCGCTTGTATATTCCTTTGATTCATCGTCTACATATCTAAGAAAGTGAAATGCAAAAACAATGAAAGATGAAGAGACTACAAAACATGCAGCATAATATCATTTCTTAAAACGACGACTTGAAAAATACCCACTTTTCTAAAAGATACTATATCTTCTATTACAGTGGAGAAACTGTATACAACATTTTACGTCACTCTGGAAAATTATACATGAATCTTATACGATCGTATAAGATTCAACAATAAGATCGTACAAGAATCTTACATGATTTATAAATCGTAAATTTTCTTATGGAAAATTTAAAACATTTATAAACATTTTAAGTATTTGTAAATCAATTTTTGATTAATAAAGTTGGAATCGACTTATCTAGTGAGTCTAATTCTATACGCGCACGAAAAGCATAAAAACAGAATTTGTATTCTAACTAAATTTACAGCGAGAAATTTTTGTAAAAGCTTTGCGAGTCAGAACTTTCAATTTTAACGTTAGACTTTGAACCTCTGATAGCAATGTATAAACGTCTGAACTATTCATAAATCTAAAATTTATTTATAAATTTATCGGATTAACAAATATTTATAGATCCATCCGATTTATAAATATTTATTTCAAAAGAAAGAAACGTCCTATAATATAATATCAACAATTGTCATGTCATGTGTACAGTGACAGAATCAATCAGTGAATCCTTCTTGAAAAAAATGAAGTTGGATACATAAAACCACCTACAAAAAAACAATTTACAGTAATCAATAAAGCGTCTGCATAGTCTTAATGGTGGCGTATCGAAACGATCAGATGTTTGTGTAGTTGTTGTTGGAACAGTATCATCTATAAAATTATCAAAATTTGTTTTGAAATCAACAAATCTCAAGATTAATCGTTTTCAGATCTTTTTTGAGATTTTATTGTAAATCCTGGTACGTATCTTAACATAAACACAGAGCCTGAAAACGTCCTCAGAGAAACATATTCTCCATAGAAATGGTCATAAGAAAAGTAAACTTCCGCTTTCTTGACTGGTGATTTCGAAAACTAGACTTACTTTTCAAAAAAACTGATATTTCAGTACGTTGAGATATTTTCTAGACAGTCTTGAATTTACCATGTTAAAGTCTTCAGCACTATTAGATTTTTAATTGCTGAACTTTTTCTGAACAGTGTTACAATCATCTCTATTTATCTTAATAAGAAGTAGATTAAGAAGAAAATGACGATTTTCCACAGTTCCGCATCACTGGAAGTACAATGAGAATCTTATTAATATTCTGAGAATGGTTAAAGAAGACAACATCCTGTTTCTCTCTTGATTAATAGGAGATATATATTCAGATCGTTCGCATTTACTACGGTAATGTATTATTTATACGATGAACAACATAGACATAATTCAATTTAAAATTTTCTTCTCCAATTATAAATTTTTCATGTTCAACATCAAAAACAACACTGAAAAAGATTAACAGACTTGGTGAGACAGTAAAATTATTAAAATAAAAGACACTAACGCTTGATATATATCTGGATGCGTAGTTTTAAACTTTAAACCTAATCCATTAGGAAAATATTTATTTAAGAATCCCGTCGAAATTGAATAATCATCAGTAATTGGCAATAATAATTGAGAAGCAGGTTTATTTTCATTCATTACACAAATTACTCTAAAGACATTAATAAAAACTGATAAAATCAGTTATGAAAGAAATAAAATTTCAGACTTTGCCATATTTTGATCAATTGTAAAAGATATTAAACAAAGATCACTAGAAAATGTTTAACTCAAAGAAAACGACAAAATATTGCAACAATTTTCATGATATAACATATGAATAGTTAACACATCTTGAAAAATTGAATGTTGCAAATATTCTTTACATATTGTGTTTGCTCAATACACTCTTTTGCTGTTTTTGAGATGGTACAATGGAAACGTCGAAACACAACTAGATCATAGAAACTATTGGTAGCTATTTTCTAGTCAATAAGTAGTCAAAAGAAAGGATGGCGTGCATTGCCATTGTAGCATAATGCACACTCATATAAATACATGTTTTGACTATTTATGTCAGTTTTTTCAAGAGACAGCAAAAAACTTGTACTTTGGTTATTTTTACATATACTTGAATTTTTTTTATCGTCGAACAAAATTGCAAAAATTATTTATTTCCATTATAAATTCTATTTGGAATAATTTCGTGAATATTATTTATATTTAAAAAGGAAATATATTTGAATAAGAAGAATGATTTCATCCTATATATGTATTCAATTATGTATTATATATATGAAATGTGGAAGAAAGTTTGTCCTAAATTTTATCGCCGTCACTAATGAACAGCAAATCTAATCTTTCGTTCTTTAAGAACTATTCGCTTTACCAAAATTTCTAGTTTTCCTAATATTTCAAATAGTATTCATTGGTTTGATCGATAATAAGCCCACAACGTAAAAATTCTTTTTCACTTATTTAAAAAATACAAATATTTAATTATTTCTATAATATTTTTTTTTCTACTAAACATTTGAAATCAGTGCAGCATATGAAAAGTTTTACGCTCTAATACATTACTGATAGCATAATAGCAAAAAATAAACCAAATCAGCCTCATATAAGAGAAAAAAACAATTTCGGTCCGTGCTGTCAGTTTTATTTCTTTTCGAATCGTGTTGAATCTCAATGAATGAATATGGAAAATTATTGTATGACTAACCTACATCATATTATCTCCCTTAGCAATATCATATATTGGTGATGCAAGTGATGTTCTTTTCATCATGTTTGTAAATTTCCAAAATTAGTCTATAGACAAAAAAAAACCTGTTTTTATTTATATTATTTTGATATCACATTTATTCTATGATTTTTTATAATAATCTTATTTTTCATTAAAATCTTGAATGTATTTCCAAAAACACTGATTCAAATTTTTCTTTTTTTCTGATTTCTATCATTAATTGTTAACAAAAAAAGTGTTATTGTTTACATTTGAAACTTAACATCAATTATATTGTTATTTTACCAATATCGAACATTTCTTTGAGAGATTTTATTGACAATGATCTCGGTTGACTTTATCATATTTTTAGATATGTCAACTGTTTTCGTTATCACATTCTACTAATTATTCAGTGCTTTTCTCGTCTATCCATGAATCTTTTACTCACATTATTTTGAATTACATACGAGTTGAAAAATAAAAGAAAAACCATAGGACACTTTACTGTAAGACAAAGACAAGGGAAAAAAATTTTCTTTAGATTTAAACTATAAGTCATCGATAGATAGTCATTGTTATGACCATGTAGAAAAAAAAAAAGAAAAATATAAAATATTCTTAATATATAATTTATAATTCATATATATAGGAATAACTCTGTAAGCTTAGGAAAAGGGTGTGGGTATGGGTGCGTGGATATGGGAGATGTGGAGTCTCCTTGAGGAGTTTCTGATAGGAAGAACAATACAATTAGGATGTGAGAAATCAGTATTAAATTCAAGTGTCGTTAGTATATTAGAGATCTCCGATTTTTTGGGTCTGTGACATTACTCAAAAAATTATATGTTCTTTTGAATTATATGTACGGTAATCTTTTCTAGTCGTCAACCGCGATCTTCCATTTTTAAAATGTTCGATACAGTTATGTTTATGTGTAATGGTCGATGTGTTTATCATGGTTCACCTAAAAGTGTCATTCCATACTTTGAAAAATATGGATATCAATGTGATCCATATGAAAATCCAGCTGATTATATATCAGATGTTCTAATAGATATTGGTCGAAAATCAGAAATGCTAATGACATTGGATAATCTATATAATATTAAAATATAGGGTTAAAGCAACTCGTTTAATGGTAGCAGAAATCTTTTATTTATCACAAAGAACATTACGTAATGCTGTGCGTAATTCAGCATTAGCATTATCACAAACTGTTGCTTCTATTGTTATTGGTTTGTTAGTTGGATTATTATTCTTTGATTTGAAGAAAACAATTGAACCTGGTGTTCAAAATCGACTTGGTGCAATTCTTTTTTATTGTCATCAGTCAAATTTTTAGTAACTTGACAGCAGTTGAACCACTCATTAAAGAACGTGTTCTTTTTATTCATGTAAGTATTTCCATAAGTTATAATGAAAAAAAAAATACTATATATTGTATTTTAGGAATATTCAAGTGGTTATTATAGAATTTTGACTTATTTCATGGCTAGATTAGTGTGATTTGATCTCAATGCATGTGATACCAGCTCTCTTATTTTCTTTTATCTCATATTTTATGATAGGTTTAACTCGAACTCCTAGTTAATTCTTTATATATTTGTTAACAATCTTTATGGCTAGTTTATTTGGATCAGCTATGTGCTTTTTTCATATCGACGACTATATCTTTCTTCGGTAAGATCATGTGTTCATTTTTCATAGTCACGTCTGTAATATTTATATAAAAAAAAGATTTTCAAAAGAGTTAATAGGAGCTACAAGTACCACAAGTAATAGTTTTGTCTCGAGTTTCAGACAAGAAAATACGATTAAGATTGAGGATTTATTGTAAATATTTAAATGCATCACATCTAGGTTGTATTTGCTCACAAAATACAAAAAGGAGAAAATATGTGAGTTTTCTAATTTGATAATTAATCAATGACGAGATGATGTGAAATTGTGTTAGATATTTATTGAAGTTGAACTAAGCTTGTATTCAGTCATCACTATCTATCGTTATTTGTTCAACTACCGATTTTTGTCCGAACGTATTCCTGTATATCTGTTTATTTTAGTTATGGCTCTAATTATTGTTATCTTCATTCTTGTCATTATGATGATGCTTAGTGGATTTCTTATTGATTTACCAAGTATGTTTAGTTGGCTCTCATGGATTCAATGGATTAGTACATTTCGATATGCATCAAATGTACTTACTATTAATGAATTTCAAGATCTTCTATTCTGTTTAGCAAATGAAACTGATATTTGTTCAATAACAGGCGATGAGATACTTGATAAACGAGGACTTGTTCATGCTAATGCATGGGATTTATGGAAGAACTTTTTTGCATTGACAATGATGGCTATGCTATTGTTTATTTTAACTTATATTCAACTGATTAGAATAAAAAAAATCAAATAATACTAATTGGTTGTTTTCAATATTTTTCCTACAAACGATAAATTACAAAATCTTTTGTTTCTATTATATTATTCAATGAATGTGACACTAAAATTACTAATGGTTTGAACTTTTTCTTTCTGATATATGTCACTTACTTTCATTAACGTTGAATAACATTCTTCTTGAACTGAATAGAATATCTGCACTAGTGGTAAAGAAAAGGATGAGCAACAGAAGATAATAATTCTTTTGAAATAATATAACAACGTTTGATGAATAAATGAACTCCATCTAGTATGCACTACTGAGCTACTAGTTGGTGAGTTAGTCATCTGTTTACAATGTACCTTTTTTGAAATGGATATTATACTTAGCCCTGAAAACAAAACAAATTTAGAGAATCATTCTATGTTTTTCGATCTAACTAAATAATTTTTAGAAATAGCGTTATTCCCTTATCGGAAAGAAAGCGTCTTACATTTGAAATATGTACGTATGTTTGTGTGTCCGAATCAATCACAAATAACTTTTTCTATTCATTGTGTTTTCTACTATTCTGATGAAACATGACTCTAGAATATCGTGAACCTGGATGTGTGCATGCGAAGGTATGGGTGAGGGTGAAGAGAAGTTCGTCCCCAATATTCACCCACGTCTTATATAACATGGGCCTATTCTAATACCTCGGAACAATCTTTCTATCACATAGTCTAGCTGCAACATCATTTTGATCACTTAAGTGACTGAGAATGTCTCTAATAAAACTCTTGTTCTTGGAAAGTTAGAAATAATCATGTGGAACGCTCGCTGAATGAAGTATTTCATATTCTTGGAGGCAAAAAGAGGTTTTTGTGAGTGTCACGAGAAATACTGACGTTTTCTAACAGATCATCCTAGAAAACTACAATTGTTTTTTGAATGATGATATCAGTCTAGTTTATTCTTTACAATAATTTATGGTCAGAATTCAGCTATATAAAACCCTTAGTTTTCGATTTTTTTTGGAAAAACTCTCAAATTTCATGAGAATACATTCGAAAATTTTTGTTCTCGGCACACAACTTACCTGTCCTATATAGGACTATGGAATAAAAAAACAAAGGTCTCTAGCTAATTATTATTATAAAGATATTCAATCACTACTGATTTTCTTTTTTTAATTTGAAAATATCTCGTTATCATTTATTATAAATGCTAAATCGTATTTCGCATTTTAATCCAGTAGGAATTGCACTAACAATCTTTATACAACAGAATATCTTATGATATTACAATTTTCAATCATTTTTGCATGACATTTTCTATGTTGCATCACTGCTAAAATACATCGACTTATTGTTGTTAATATTGGATACGCAAAATGCTGGTCATTCTTACTATCACGATGTTGTTCTTGTCATTAAACTTGATTGTTAATGGAGGATTTACTCATGAATTCATTTAATCCAAGTTCACTTTTTCAATGTAAGTCCGGTATAACAACTTTGATGTCTTGTCCAGAAGGACGTGTTTGGAATCAAGATAAATAGTTTCTCTATTTAAAACCAGCTAAACGTAAGTATTCACATTAAATATTCAACGAAATGTCCTTGAGCTAGAGAATGAATAGTTAGATACCACTGATGGTAAATCTGAACTTCATGCTCAAATTCAATTGTTCCATTGTCATAGAAATGAAAATCAACAATTCGGATTGAACAGTGATAGTACTCTTCATATCATGGGCAAATGTCTGGATATTTCTAATTCAAATTTATGTGAATCCCACAAGACCCTTGATAGAGTTGGCACGATTCTTGTAAGGAGTCGCTGATCTCTTTAAGAAAATTGTGATATTCCTAAATAAAGCGCGTAGCCACTAGAGTACATGACTCTCACAGAATTCGAAACAAGATTTTATCGAAGTCTTGACGAGTTTACTATTATATTCGAAGGATAGCTGTCGGTATAAGTATTCTCTTCACACCTACGCCCAAACCACGCTCCTATAACTAAAAGGTTAACTAAAACTCGTCAATGTTCGATTGTTGATAGTCTGAAGATTTATCTTGGACAATGTCACTATAATCTAGATCATTGAAATATGATTCTGATTACGTTTATTTTGCTTGTATTATAAATGGATTTAATAGTCATTCGAATAGACTTGTTTTTAAAAATTATCATTGGATTTAGAAATCATAAAAAGAGCTTTGTTTTGTAAGAATAGGATATGTAAGTCTAGTATTTAGTTTGCATTTTATTATTTCATTTATAACTGGAAATTATTTAAAAGAAAATGTTTAAAATCAATGTTTTACAATGATCATGTGGAATAAAAACTAATTTCGTGAGCAATACTGGTCCTTTTAAATTCGATAAAACTAATAACTATTTGCATTTATTTCTTAAGACTGAACTCTTCCGTATATTCGTGAAGCTTTTTTTTGGAAAATAATATGCCATGAAAACTTGTCATTAAATTCATTTCTCCGTTGAAACATAATCTATTTTTTAATCGACGAAATGATTTGCTTTCGTTGCATAACAGATAATAAACATCAATAATAATACGTAATACAACAACAAAAAATACATATGCCAAGACATCTAAGAGAAAAAATCACTGGATCCAGATGCAGGTGAGAAAGACCAAATATTAGAAAAGATCAAGACGATGACAAGACCGTATCCTGAACATCTACAAGTAAACAAGCCTGTAATTTTTCTGTGTTCGATTCATTTGCGAACTCTATTTCAAATTGAGTTGTTATTCAATATTCGTTAAGTAAAATAAGTAAAACATATGTTCTTTTACAATACCTACACACGATACTCTCGACCAACAAAAAGAAATAAACGATTGTTTAGTTTTTCAAAACAAGTACTGAAACCAAAAAATGTTAAAGATATACCATATTATCTTTGTGCATTCATTTTGACATTCTCTTTAGAGTTCTCTGAGAGAATAGCCAACTTTAGTGAGGTTTATCTATTTTTCGATTTACAGCTTGCTAGATCGAGTAAGTAATTACCTTGAACAACAGGGTGGGTGTGGGTGTGGGTATGGATGCGGGAGTCCTTCTCCTCATACCCACACCCTCAAGTTATTTGTAGAAGATCAATGAAGACATGTATTCATGTACAGAATTTAATTTATTCGTATTTGATTTAAAAAAAAACAAAAATAAACAGATAGAAAAAAAATATTCATTTTTCCAACAGCAAGAATAAATATTTTATATTTGTGCTTAATAGTTTACATTCTTATCAAGATATAGATAATGAGTATTGACATAGTATGTAGAAAAAAAGTCAATACAACTTTGCTATCATTGAATTACTGTTTATTTACCTGCGACATCACAAACAGTCTCATAAAAAAATTACACAGGACACCACGTTGATGTTATATAATAATTTTTTTCTAATGGCAATAAATTCTAATCGATGTTTTATTCTTAAACAGATCGTACGATGCACATATTTATACAAAGTTACTCTCATACCTGATAATGTTCAGTTTTCTATTCAACGTATCTGCATGCATCCGTTTGACTTATGAAAAAATTGTTGAAGATTTCTTTCAATTTTGATTTCATCTCAAACAGTACCTTTTGATTATGAGATATTATCAAAAGAAAACTTCATTATATGTCTACATTGCCATGTGTATCATAAATCTTTGTGATTCTTCCGTAGCAGATCTATATGAGACTACCTTAAAAGATTGTGTTCTTCTCATAAGAATTAGGTAAAAACTAAACCGATTTTTTTCTACATATTCCTTTGGGTATGTAAAAATTTTTGAAGTTCAAGTTCAAATGAACAAGCTAAATGTTTTTCTCTTTCTATTTTTTTGTTAAGAAATACGATAAGGTGTCGAATCTTCTAAAAAATCCGTTTAAATTGAAAAATGAATTATACTGAAAATTATCAATCTTTGAATCATCTTAAAGACAAACTGTCTCATGTTCATAACAATATAAGTGTTATTTATTTCAATATGAAATGAGATACAAGAATTTGTTTTTAGAATAATCGTACTCCGTTAACTATCATTAATCGAATGGAGGTGGATTGGAATGTCTCCTTGCTAGTCATTGTCTAATGTTGAATGATTCTAGCCATCTCAGATCATACTGAAACAAATATTAATCCGTACATTCCATATGAAATGAATGTCATTGAAGAAGTATGAGTTTTTTCGCTTTTTTTTTGTCGTCATTCATCATCTTCTCTTTCGGTGAATGTTTTATTGCTGCTATGTGCTGTCTTTTTCATGGAGTGCCCATTTGATAAGAATAAAAAAAAACAAAAAAAAGAAGGCAAACAGAAATAGCAACGAAAGATAAAGGTTTGACACGCTGCAAAAGTAAAATACGAATCATTCGAAAAAAAAACAAGCCAACGGTGTAAGGAGCAAAAAAATTCTATCAACAGCAACACATCATAAAAATTACCCAGAACGTTTCACTTTCAATTACTTGACTGTGGTGAGTAAATTATTAGGAAGATCCGAGAAGCAAAATAAACTGTTTTGAATGTTATATAATTAGCTGCAAGGTGCTGCGAATATTGGCAATGATTTAGGCAGATATGACATTGACATTCATTATTAGCTGTACTTGAGCTGATCGATTTGTCAATCGATGTCAGTTACCTAGAAGTTGAAATGTAGCCAATCTGATTGCACCTAATGAAGTTCAGTTTGAAATACTTGATAGAGTATCTAGATAAATTGCTTTATAGTTGAACCTTATCTCGATATCAGTCATGATTGACATAGAGATCCACCGTATTATTAATGGAATGCTTATTTGAAGAACTAGTTGAAGTGTATGTCGTTCTGTTGGTGTCTGGTTTCTTATTTTCATGTATTACATGATGGCAGATGCATTCTTTTCAGATTGATCTTGCTTTTTATTAATGGCGACTAAAGAGAAACCACGACGTAAGTTGGCACTTGTAATTGGCATTGGTAAATATGACTATTGTGAAGAATTACAAAATCCCGAAAATGATGCGAATGATATGTCGTCTGCTCTGGAAAGTATTGATTTCAATGTTACAAAGAAACTACATCTACGACGTGCTGAGATGCAACACGTTCTTATTGATTTCGAAGAATCAATAGAGCGCGACGATATGGTTCTATTTTATTTTGCTGGGCATGGGATTCAATGGGAAGTATGTATTAAGGTTTCATTCTTAAAAGTGATCCTAATTTTCTATGAATGTTTTATTTGTGGTACTTTTAGAATCAAAATTATTTGATACCAAAAGACACTCCAACTTTGAATGGTGCAGTTTTAAACAGGAGTGCAATCAATGCACAAGATATTCTTGACACTTTAAGTGATCGCAATCCATATGTAACAATATTCCTATTGGATTGTTGAAGGAAGTATCACTTTCGTAATCCTGAGGTAGACGCACGTGATCCAGATGCAAGTGGCTCAAAATCAGTAGGCCTCAAACCAATGCACAAGGCTGGTTCATTGATTGCATTTGCTTGCACGCCTGGAACTATAGCCATTGAAGGAAAAGGACAGAGAAACGGTTTATTCACAAAGCATCTTTTAAAACATATTACAACTGAGAATGAAGACATCTAAATGATATTACGTGATGTTGCCAAAGGAGTAATACAGGAATCAAAATCAAAACAAATTCCATTTGTGAGTGCTTCATTATTAGAGAGGGATATATATTTATATAGTCAACAAACAAAGCGACTACATAAACCAGGTAAATATGCTAGCAAATTCTACTGCTCTTGCTTAAGTGAATGAAAAGATTGCCATAACAATTTTACCATCGAATCATCTTTGTTTCTACCTATTTAAAAAATAACACATGAGATATTGTCAGCATTCGAATTGTTTTTCGACGTAACCGGAGACAAATGTTATAAATAACACAACCGAAATAAACAGAGAACTTGGATTCTTCCCTGGTCTCAATCTTTATAATGCTTGCAATTTTCATAGTCTGGCGTGGTTATTTCTTAATTACGAAGGAAACTCTTCAAACGTTTCATCACTTTGGAGCTCATCTGTTGGACATATATAGAGGTTCACTGGCATAGTCTAACCATAAAAGGACATGTGCGCATAGTTCTTTGAACGAATCATATCGCATTTTTAAATCACATTTGTTCGAACTGAAATTTTTATTAGATGAAACAGATATTAGAATCCAACTACGGTAGATGTTTGAGCATTATCGTTAATTGATTCGCGAAGATGTTGAATTTAGAACAACCAGTCGGAAATCTGATGCACTCCTAAGAATACTACCATCTAATAAAGACAACATTCTTGTTCAAGATCACCTCACCTATTGACATTGAAAGATCCTAGTATATATTTTTGTATTTTAGAACAGCCACAAAATTTGTTACAAATATCGGATCAGGATCTAAAATTGGACGAGGAAATTGGTCGTGGAGCATTTGGAACAGTTTACCGAGCTCGATGGTTGAGGCGACACCACACAGTTGCTGTCAAAAGGTTACATCTTACTCAGTTGGA